TATTGCTGAATTAACATTCAGCCCTGAAGTCAACTAAAAGCTTTTTAAGTCCATTTGTTGCTACTACATTTTTATTATTTTGAAATAAGATTACTGCTAATCTGAAATCTACACTTCTAATATACTTAGTTTTGACATACTCAAGCACATGTGAATGAAACAAAACACAACTCCAGGTATGAGGATGAGTAAGAGTACATCTTGTGTAATACAGGACCTTTAACCACAACACTACAAGTATAAAGTATTATTAGTTTTATCACTTTTTCTTCAGGTAGTTTTCAGAATATGGGGGTGAAAATTAGACTATGGGGCATCACAGAAGTCTCTTTTACAAATGTGAAAGACTGAAATTACATAATATAAATGACATATAGTGGACTGGAAAACCTATATCATGAAGAAGGTTGCAGAGTCAGGAGAAAGGACGTAACAATGACACTGGGAGGATCGTGAGTCAGCAAAACGCCACCCTCCTCTCCATCTCCTCCTCTTCACTTGTGAACACTTGACAATGTGTTGCTGCTCCTCGTAATGGGGGAACTATATTTATCCCTGTACAGCCCATTGACTTGGCCACAGAGAATCTATGGCTGGAAAGAGCAGTGCTCTGGGCCTGCAGCCGAGATAAACCCACAATATACTATATATGGGAATACATTAACGACTATTTGACATTACTGAGAAGGGCTCATGTCATTAGACAAGTTTATCTTAGGTTGATGTTGTTGTTCTGTTTGTCCTGGTTTGATCCTGGTTTAGTCCTGATCTGGTTTGGTCCTGTCCTTGTTGTGGTCTAGTCCAAGTTTAGTTTTGGGTAAGACTGGGTGATATGACAAAAATCTATTATGATTTGTTTCATTGAAAATAAATTAAAATGGCTTTACAATAACATTAACATTAATTTCCTGCATATAAACAAAAGGGCTGAGACTCACAGAGGCCCTTATGAATCGATATGATACTCGATACATGGCTCATTATGCGATATTATCACAATAATAATATAATAATCAATATATTGCACAAAATATATTGCTGTTTTGTAGGAACCAAATACATTTTAGCATTGATATTTCTTTGTTAAACCACTTCTTTTGCAAATATGAAATACATATATTTTAATAATCAAAACAGTGAATATGCCAAGTTTCCTTCTACTAAGTAAGCAACAAAATTGCAGTGCTCCTAGAATTTTAATCATCAATTTCTTAGTCTGAACTCTGCTCCAGACGACATGTTTTACTGACAGAGGAATGGGTGAAGAACTCTCCATTAAAAAGACCCAAGTTGGATATTGACAATTCAAAATGATTCTAGCTCAATTAAAATTCAATTAACTGCCAAGCACTAGGTGACTGTACATGACTGTACTGAGTGTTGAATGCAGTCTAAATTATACTAAATGGGTGCTATAAATTAATGATTTCTTTGCAAGACAAATGTGTCAACCTTGATGAAGAGCTTTGGAATGAGTCAAAACAACTTTATATGAAAACTGAGATGTCTGCTTTTTAAACCTTTTCTTAGTGTGCAAAAGTTATTTTCTACTTTAAGTGTTATGAATTGTATACGAGTACACTACACTGTTATTCCACCTTCATTCAGACTAAACAATGCTGTGTTACCTTTTGAATAGAGATGCACCAATACAACTGTGGTTTCAGATATTGGTGCAGATATTGACATTTTTTGGATATTCTCAGATATCGTTTCAAAGATATTGGTTCATTCGATATTATTATGTTTATTTATTTCGGACAGTAATACATAGAACATAAATTAAAAAACAAAAACAAAAAACTAAATAATAAAAAAAGACCTTCCCTTTGGTCTATAAATTGGTGTAATAAGACAATTTATTAATCAAACATATTGTAATAGTTTTCAAAGCTGGTCTGTAGTTACTTTAAATGATAAATAACAGTTACAAAACATAATGGATATATATATTTTTTTTTACCACACAGCATTTTTACTCAATAGAAATAAATTATTGGTATCGGTTGATATTGGCAATCAGCAGATACTTAAAGCCAGCAAGACTATTAGAACAGTAAAAGCTGGATCCGTGTATTCTTAATTTTGAAACCATCTCTGACCACCCTCAGTCACGTTTCATCAATGCACATTCCTATATTTATTTATTTATTTATTTATTTAGTCATTTATTTGAGACAGGGACAGCGCACAATTTTTGCATTAACCTTAACAGGAGAGATGCATTGTACATCAGGTTGTAGCATCAGTGCAGATTTCCACCTGTCGTCCCTGGGCAGATTCATTGATTGATTGTATTTAACTGATCTTGACTATCAACTGTTCTGGAGACCTAGAGCATGTTTTGGGTTGATGGGGGAAACCGGAGCGCCCGGAGGAAACCCATCCAGACACGGGGAGAAACATGCAAACTCCACAGTGTGAAAGTAAATATGTCACTGAAGTCCACATAGTTTCTGGAACATGTTTCAACCATTTCCAACCTCACAGGAAAACAAGTTTAATGGTGCACGGTGTAACTTTTCTGGTGGAAGGTCTGCCACCTGCTTGTCTATATGGAGGTATTACTGTTTTGCCTTCATTATTTCACACTACAGAAATAAACTTGGTAATCACAATGGAGAAAATCTATGACCAGATCTATGGAGAAGCAAACCTGCACATGGTAGGAGTTCAGGTATTTTATTTATAATTGAACAAATGCAAGGGAGATATGTTTAATGCTCTACTGTGGAACATCCCAGGCAAAGAAACAACATCTCCATGGAGAAAAGCACGTAACATACTCTTTAGAAGAGAACACGGTGACCTTTTAGATATACTGTGCTGCAAATATAAACTCTATAACTTAAATATTAGGCACATTTGGTCACAGCTGTTGTGTAGCAGCTGTCAAGAAGACAAGACGTATTTATGAATGTAACCCTGATGCAATGAGATTTCACTTTATTGCAGCATCTGTGTTGTTGAAAATCAGTTCCACATATAAATATAAAACATGAAACGGCAATGCTAATCAAACCTGATCACCCAGTTCTGACCTTGGACAGTTTATTTCTAGATTAAATTAGTCATGTTTATGGTGTATTTCTTTATACATTTCTGTTGTAGATCTCTATTTATCTATTATTTTAATGAATCAATCAGTGATCAGCCTGGATCTTTTTACAGAGCCCATGTTACGCTGTCTTCTGATCTATGTTATAATGTGGTTTCCTCATCACAAACAGACCTGGAGTTATGTTTTGTTTCATTCACATGTTTAATACACAAACCCTGCATATCTGGAGTTCTTCTCTCAATCAGAAAACCCTCTGTTCCACCTTGTGAGGTCATGTGGTAATACATGAAGGGTTGGGTAAATTTTAGTGAAATTACCCAACTTTACTAGAATCAATTGGGTAATTTCAGTCCAGGAATTGCTGTGAGACCGTGAGCTTCATAGCCACATATTCTGTCAGCAAAACATTAAATTTGAGCCGAATTCAAACATCGGAGGAAGAAATTTGACAAGGTTTTTGTGTTAATGATAAAAAGTCCATATCTATATGCATCTCTACATATTAAATCATGACAGTATCCAGACCTCTTATGACCTAAAAACTTAAAATAGTCACATGGAGCCTCCTTGCGCCCCAGATTTCACAGTCTATTCACAATTTGACGACCAGGACTCCTCTCCGTTACACATCAGAGCTGCTTCCTCCCTCGAGAGTTTTAAAACGCTGCTGAAAACACACTTTTTACAGTGGCTTTTAATTCAAGTTGAATTTCCATAGTTTTATCTATGTTTTTAACCTTGTTTTATTGTGTTTACTTGTGTTTACTCATATTCTGTTTTTATCTATACTCTTAAAGGTTCTACATTATGTGAAATTAACTCTTGTGATCTTAAAGCCATGGTATAATGCAGTTATCTCCTCAAAAACATACCTGGAGTTGTGTTTTGTTTCGTTCACATGTTTGAGAAACCCTTCTTTATTATTTTCAAAGCTCATAATGCTCTGTTCTGACAAGGTGGAACAGAGTGTTTTCTATTTGAGAGTAGAATTCAGCCTAAATATGGAGGGTTTGTGAGTTAAACATCTGAATGAAACAAAACACAACTCCAGGTCTGTTTGTGATGAGGAAACAAAATTATAACATAGATCAGAAAATAGCGTAATATAAAACATTTTGATTGATTAGCACCACTGTCTTTGTTATAAAGGTCTGTCTAAACCAGACTTGGGGACTTGCAAGTCGTGACTTGGACTCGAGTCAGACTTGAGTCACTGTTTTTAGGACTTGAGACTTGACTTTATAAAATGGACTAAGACTTGGGACTCAACTTGAACTTTTAAATCTGAATTTGTTTTATTCTGACTGTAATGATTTACTGTAATGATCTTGTCATGACATTTAAAAAGAAAAAAAAAATTGCATTTCTACAACTCTTATATACTCTATAAACACTCACATGTAAATATACTATGACTTTATAGGTACAATTTATCTTAAAAGTCATATAAATTGTAAAATTTTAAGTAAGTAAAAATTTAAGTAAGTTTAAAGACTTGAAATTACAAATGTCAAAGACTTGAGACTTACCTGACACTTGCAAAACAACAACTTGGTCCCAACTCTGGTATAAACCAAATAATACTTATCACTATGAAAATACAAGTAGGATTATTTTAATAGTCAACTAGTCATGGTTACTACCTCTCAAAAGTTTGGAAACACCATCTCGTTTAGTGGGGTTTTTTGTTTGTTTGTTTGTTTGTTTTTGTCTTTATTTTTACGGCTTTCTGCATTCTCTATACATATAGAATATATGAAGATGCATAATGTGTGTAATAATATACTATAAATAATATATGAAGCAAGATGTATGGAATTATATACAAGAGGGTGCGTCCAAAGGCTTGACTTGTGTATTTCAATGAATGGCTGCAGGCCTATTTTGACAAATCATCTGACCACTCTGCTGTGTGCTTTGTCTTTTCTCTTTGTTGCAGCTCTCTTGAGTAGCTCTAAATTCACGGGCTCCTCTCAGAACTACAGTACTCTGCTGCTCGAAGAGGACCTGCTGTACGTCGGAGGCAGAGGAGCTGTGTACGCTCTCAACCCGGCCAACATCTCTGCACCTGCAAATTTCTCTGTGAGTTTTTCATTTTCATTGCAAAAACTATTTCACATGTTTCCCCAAAGTGATAAAAAGGAGGACAACCTAATTACAGCCCCGAGCAGATTGAGCAAATCCCATTGTGTTCTCATTTTATGGATATTGGATTAAAAGTAAACTAGAAATCAGCCTTTTCAAGGGTTACTGGATTTTGGCAGTGACATTTTGCAAGCATCTCTCGCAGGTTTTGTAAAGGTTAGAAATATATTAATACTATTTTTATTCTATTTATGACATATGTTTAGATGACAAGATGAGACATTTAAGTCCAAGACAAAGATACAGTGCATTAATTAATGTTTAAACTCAAAAATAACTATTCTGTCTAATACCTATTGATTGTGGTATACTCTACTGGTCAAAAGTTTTAGAACACACAGATTTTTCCAGTTATTTATTGCAATTCAAGTCGTGCAAGTCAAATGAAGAGCTTGAAATGGTACAAAGGTAAATATTGAACAGCCAGAATTTAAGAAAATAAGATAAAAGATACAAAACAAAAGTCCAAGCTCTGCCAAAACTACCTCAGGAAAAAAGAACAAGATGGTTTAGCTTGAAAACCTGGAGTGTCCAGTATAGTGTCCAGACTTAAACCCCATCGAGCTGGTTTTGGGATGAACTGGACAGAAGAGTGAAAGCCAAGAAACCTACAAGTGCCACACATTTATGGAAAATTCTGCAACAGGCTTGGGGAGAGCTTTCTGAACAATATTGAATTATTTCTATTGTAAAAAGAACGAGCCACGAGTGTGTTCAGCTGTTATATCTGCCAAAGGTGGACACTTTCATCAATCAAAAGTTTAGAATACGTTTTGGACAACAGTAGGCGTGCAACGATATTCAAGTCTCACGGTATGATATTTATTGCAATATCGTGGGAAGCTCATGATATGGTGGGGAGGCTCATGATTAGGGATGTAACAATATCCAAATCTCTCTGTACTATGTTTTCACAATATACATCTCACGGTATGATATTTATTGCGATATTTTGTGGAGACTAACAAAACTGTTAATATGCTTCTTTTTCCTCTTAAAATGCCTTGACAAAATTTAATCCAAAGAACTAAGACTTAAAAGTGCTTAGAACTGTTATTTCTTCTTGTAGTCTGCACTGAAATGGAGCCAAGGATCATGGTCTATGTAGTTCCCTATTTTTTTGCTGTTGCTGCACCATAACTCTTAATTTAAGCAAAGAGACTTGTAATTCAATATATTGTGATGGTCCATGATATTATTGTGAGAACTTTGACGATACGATATCACGATATTTCGGTTATTATAACACCCCTAGTCAACAGTAAACAATAAAAACTGGAAAAAGTGTTCTAAAACTTTTGACCGGTGGTGTACATTAGACACTGTTTTATTAGACTTAGACAAACTGTATTGATCTACACAGGAAATGCTTTTCTTACAGTAGTTCATTTGCACGGTAATAGACCGAAAATTAAATTGGAAATAGAAAACTAAAGCAAAATAATTTCCTAGTGGAGGGTCGACCACCTGATTGTCTCCATGGAGATATTATTGCCTTGCCAGGAATATTCCACAGTTTGTCATTATTAAATATATCAATCTTGTATTTATTGACTAGCACAGGTGTTTATTGCTAAACACGCATTTTTTAAAATGAGTGGACTTGTCTCTCATAGATCTGACCCGTAACTTGACCTGGTGATGCGACCACTCTCCACGTTTACATAATGCATGTTTAATTAGTGATCTATAGGGGTGTAACGATCTCTCACCATAGTCTCACAATATTGTCACGGTATGAACCTCTTGGTATGATATTTATTTCAATATTGTGGGAAAACTCATAATATGGTGGAGAGCCTCACGATTAGAGATGTAACACTATACAAATCTCTCAGTGCGGTATTTTTACAATATACGTCTCACAGTACGATATTTATTGCGATATTTTGTGGAGGCTAAAAAGCTAGAACTGTTAATATGCTCCTTTTTCCTCTTAAAATACCTTGACAAGACTTAATCCAAAGAACTAAGACTTAAAAGTGCTTAGAACTGTTATTTCTTCTTGTAGTCTACACTGAAATGGAGCAAAGGATCATGGTCTATGTAGTTCCCACTGTCTTTTTTTTTTAGTTATTGCTGCACCATAACTCTTAATTTAAGCAAAGAGACTTGTAATTCAATATACTGTGATGGTCCATGATATATTGTGAGAACTTTGACGATACCATATCACGATATTTCGATTATTGTTACATCCTTTTGTAATCTAACAAGAAGTACAAAAAGAAAACCCTTTTAAAATGCAAAATGTTATCTTTTTACCTACCATTGCATGTCACTTTATACCATATTCACATCAGAATCATCATTATAATTATCCTCTTTGTTTGCAGATGGACTGGGAGGCTTCTTCAGAGCAGAAAAAACAGTGTCTAAGCAAAGGAAGGAACAATAAGGTACAACAAACCGAAAATCATTATCATAAGAAAAACAACACATCCCATTTCCAGGTTTGCCCATTGTTCATTTTCTCTGTAATAGGAGTTTTAGCCGTATACAGAGGCCATTGTAGAAGCACTGGAGCGGCTGCCTTTTGTGCTTGATTAGCTGAGTGGAAAAAGGACCAGTTTTGATGTTTTTTTTTTTCCCCTACAGACCGAATGCTACAATCATATACGATTTCTCCAACGCTACAACGAGACCCACCTCTACATCTGCGGGACAAACGCCTTCAGGCCTCTTTGTGCATATATAGTAAGAGTAATCACTAGTCTGTATGTGCAGTGTTATTGAGGTATGATCATTACCTTTATGTGGCCTCTTATAGGACGCAGAGAGGTTCAATTTCTCCGCGGGATTTGAGGAAGGCAGAGACCGGTGCCCCTATGACCCCGCTAAAGGATATACAGGCCTGCTTGTAGGTACGATGCGCAGCCGATTCTCAAATAACTGTGTAATATACATGTCCTGATCCAGTTTTCATACAATCTTGATTCACCTTGGATTTCCGTCATGTGAAAGGTCCATGTTCTACAATGTAATTTCTGTTACAGCGACAAGTTCTTTCATGTGACTATTTGAATATCCGACATCATTTCGCGCTTATAGATAAAGTCAGAAATGTCAGATTGAAATGGAAGCCGTGCGTACAGAGGAAGGAGAGTGAATATAGGGGTATTACAGAAGGCGATGGCAACGCTGATGGATGTAAGATAAGATAAGAGAACCTTTATTTGTCCTAAAATTACAGTGTTGCAACGCAAAGTTCAAGGACAGCAGGAGAATACAAATCTGTAATAGAAAATCAAGATAAATAACTATTAAAAAATGAAGAGGTAAGGTAATAAAATACAAATACAGCACAGAAATATAAACTTGGATATCTGCTGCGGATATGTTTATGTAGATGATCATGCAGACGATGTATAATGATTAATTGGAATCAAATTAAAAATGCTGCTTAAATGGTCGCGATTAGCAAATTCAACATAGCGAATCTCAAAAAAGTTGAAATAATTTTGGTAAGTAGTAGTTTAGACCTCTACAAACATGTTTTAAATGCATGTGGTTGTTATATTAGTTCAGATTTAGTTCATATTTTTATTATTTCTAAACGTTAGTAATGTTCTTGGGTCTGTTTAAAATGTGCACGGTGAACTGTATCTTCATTTTCAAACTCAAACCCCAAATCTAATCTGTATAATTGTCAGAAAAAATACAATTAGATATTTTGCTGCGCTCTATTGATTTTCCTGATTTAAGCAAATGTACTTGTATAGCAAAATTGGTAAACAACAAATTGCTTTACAGATTAAGAAAGACATTAAAATCACAAATAAAACTTAAATAAACATAAAATTGAAATTAAAAGGGAAGAGTGCAGAATTAAAACGCTTTAGTCATATGCACACAGTAGCTTACACATAACAATATAATTTAATAACTAAGAGCAAAAATATAAATGGTATTCATAAATCCAAAATAAAAATAGCAAGAGACCGGTGTCAATTAAAAGGCCCATATTACTCTATTTTCTGATCTGTTATAATGTTGTTTCCTCATCAAAAACATGAAGTTGTGTTTTGTTGTTTAATGCACAAACTCTGTATATTTAAACTGAGTTCTTCACTCAATCAAAAAACACTCAGGAAGTACAGTAAGTGCTCCACTGTGTTTTTAAACTCCATACACCTTCACTAGAATTATTTGGATGATTTCAGCCCTGGGATTGCCAATCTTTACTGAACAAAAGGGAGCTGTTTACTTGAAAGCTTCCGCTTCATGACTGAAGGTGGAACAGAGCATTTTGAGCTTTGGAGATGTAGATAGATGAATAATAATGAATCCGTGTATCATTCGTTCATTTGTTTTATAAAAAATAATGCTAAAAATAAAAAAAAATGAAAAAAACAACAACAACAATTTTCTTCATTATTTGTCTCCAAAACCAAATTGAAAAAACGGATAACAATTCCTTTTTTCAGTTTTCGATTTTGTGTTTAAATGAATAATGGAAAAAACAGATAACGGCCGTTTCCCGTTTACGTGACTTAAACTGCGATGTCGGACTTTTGTGCCACATACGGACTGAACCAGGACTGAACCAGGACTAAACGGGTCTCAGTCCTGGTCTCAGTCCTGGTCTCAGTCCCAGTCTGGTCCCGGTATTGGTTCTGATCACCAGACAGTGTATGTGGGCACACCTCCAGGCCTCCTGACACTCAGTCAGTCCTGGTTCAGTCCTGGTTGAGTCCGGCATCGCAGTTTAAGTCACGGAAACAGGAAATGGCCATTATCCGTTTTTTCCATTATTCATTTAAACACAAAATGGAAAACTGAAAAAACAAATCGTTATCTTTTTTTTTTTTTTCATTTTGGTTTTGGAGACAAATAATGAAGAAAACAGTTGTTTTTTCGTTTTCTTATTTTTGGTTTTCTTTTGACGAATGATTTCTCAGACATGTGTGAATGAAACAAAACTCAACTCGGGGTTTCATGTTTTTGAGGAGGTGACAGCATTCAAACAATTATACAGTTTGTTTATATACAGTAAAAACATAGTGTGCCATATGTGTCTTCCTTGTTATTCTCAGATGGGGAGATGTTCACAGCCTCTCAGTATGAATTTCGCAGCTCTCCGGACGTACGCAGGAACTTCCCCTTCCCCACCCTCAGGACAGAGGAGGCCCCCACCAGGTGGCTGCTGGGTAAGTGCAACCATGACAACAACAGCAGCAGTACTATAGTAGCAGCTAAAGAAAATCAGTATTGGTGGTTTTCAGATTCAAGGATGTGATGATATTGTACTCCCAGATGAGGTCAAGAGACATATTTGTATTTTGCCATGAAATATCTAAAAGGTAAATGCTCAAATGTTGAACCTGATCACTTCTGTGCTTGACTAGACCCCAAAACTCACTGCATTAACAAAGAAATATAAATTTTAACTGCACCCCTGGAGTATAGTAGTAATATTATTAGCTGAAACCCAGCAATACAGTCTATATATATTTTCAGAATGATGAAAAGTTAGAACTGTTTCCATAGCAATAAAAACTTGAAAACAATATATTAGATCTTAAAAAGTCCTCAAAATGTTACACAAAACAGAAATCTGAAACCTGTGAATACCTTGAAAATAAAATGAACCAAAGAAAGCAGCTCAAAATATGCTCGTTTTTTTTTTTTTCCCATCTTTGATCATGTGCTTTATCTTATTATAACATATTTTATTCATTCAAGGTTGTCCCAGCAAAACTGTGATTCATGTATTTAAAGCTTTGTGTAGGGAAGCAAAATAGGGCACCTAATACGCCTACACTGTTAGCTCAAAATTTGTGATTAAAGAACCTAAATTGTCCCATTTTTAATCCAGTTACACATATTTGATTCTTCCAAGGTCATCCCAGCTAAACATATATTTAAAGAGGCTGTACCTGATTGATTTCATGTAGAGTAAAGTGTGATTTTTGACTGTATATATAAATGGACAAAGCTAACCTGCTAATTGGCATGTTTTATGAAGTATGAAGTGAGCATGGGCACGCTTCCGGCTCCAACAACTCTGGTCCAAATGACTTTGTATTGAAAAAGAGTTCCCCCTCTCTCTGTAACTGCTACTGTCATGCTCCTCATTTTTGTCTTAAAGTATTTGTATTAACCCACTCAACATGACCCTGGTGCTTTTATTGCACTATGTCCGTAAATCAATTCTTATATCTAATATGGAACTCAAAATTCACCCCATAACTGCTAGCATTGTGAGCTTCATTTGAGCCGAATGCTATGGGTCAGTCTATGTCAGGGATATTCATTGCATGGCTCTCGAGCCACATGCGGCTCGCCAATCTTTAATTGGTGGCTCGCAAGCTTATAACAAAAATAGTAACACATCCAATATATTTTTTCAAATGTGCTAGATAAACATATAGTGAACACTGCAACACAAACATCTGCATTACACTAAGTATAAATTAAGGCTTCATTAATGGTGTTTCCTAAAGGGGGCGCCGTGACACCAGCAACCAGTGACGCTCGGGTCCATGTATAAACGACCCGAACCCGACCAACGTTTTCAACTAACCCACCCGACGCACCCTAACTCCGACCGCAAAAAATATTTGTAAATATTGTACCCGAGCCACTGACCCGCCTTTTAAAAAGTCGTCCATGCCCTTGATTTACATCATCTAAATAAAGTGACCAACATAAATAAAGTGAAATGAGTGTTAAATAAAGAGCTGCGCTAAACCTGCACATGTCTGATCTCTGAAAACATGAACCATCTCCAACGCGACACACAAAACAGACTCACTATCATCATCATCATCATCAACATTCATAAAGTTGAGTTTATTTATGCAGATTATTAATAGTAATAGTATTGATGAATTTTATTATAAAAAAACGTTGATGATTAATCAAATTTATATGAATGAATATGAGTTTATGTGTAGAAATGCACATTTGCAAAGGTAACTTGGTATGTTGCCATATGTTGGGTTTAAGTGGCTCTCCTCTTGATTTTGCTCTTATATGTGGCTCTTGTGGAAAAGCAGTTCTCCGGGTCAAATATTTAAAAAGCATTTTCATCAACTGGAAACCTGAATGCAACTGTGGTACGCTGTTAGCATCCTAGTTTGTGTTAGAGTTGACTCTTCTTTTAAAATGTGTATAAACTGAGGATTGAGTTTGGACCACAGCTAAAAATATAAAATAATTTGTTTTGTTTTTTTTATAATTTTAAAATGGTATAAACTGGATGCAGCCCCTATAACGAACTGTATTTTACTGAGTGTACTTATTATATTCACATCCCTTTAACGTGGCTGATACTCGCTCATTTGTACTTGCTTGTAATCTGTAGAATGGCTTTGAAATTGAGTCAGAAATCTTTCATGTTCTTATAATAATATGAAAGTAATTTTAATAGCTTCTGTGAACATTATAAACCAAGGCTAAAATGTTGAATGATATGTGCAATATACAGTGAATGAATGAACAAAAATGTGCAACGATATAAAAAGAAACTTAGTTCACTCAGCCTTTGCTTCAGTCGTTGTTCCGTTTCCAAGGAGACACTTTCCTCAGATGTTGAAAGATGGTTGTTTGGACACGTTTTTCATCGGTATGTGTTTATTTGTGTTTGCGTGTGTGTGTTGGTGTGTGTTTTTGTGTGTACAGAGGCAGACTTTGTGGGCTCAGTGTTGCTGAAGGAGAGTATTAACAGCTCCATTGGAGACGACGACAAAATCTACTTTTTTTTCACCGAGCGAAGCCAGGAGCAAGCGGTGTACCCCAGTCAAACCAAAGTGTCCAGAGTGGCCCGTGTGTGCAAGGTCAGAGGATACACACACACACACACACACACACAGATATTTGTACTTTTATTAAAGGTACGGTATATAAGCTTCACAGGTTAAAATCAATTATAACTTTTACACAGAACAGTTCCAGTGTTGACTTATTTAATTATAAAAACACTGGACAAGATGGACAAGTTGTTGTTTTGAAACCAATTGCTTCAGTTTCTCGTACGGGTTTCCAGTTCTTTAATCAGTGCTAGTGCAGCCTCTGTAGCTCAATGAGTGAATTCTGAGGGATGGCCTGTCCATATATTGAAAAAGAGTAAAAGTAATGCAGGTTTAGGCACTGGCAACCCAGGCTCAGTTGTGATAATAGTTCATTTTTTAGTAGTCTCCTTGGATGTAATTACTATTTCTGTAATGTTCCACAGTATCACAGTAAGGGCCTGTTGACACTAGAACGCTTGCGGGTAAAAATTACAAAATATCTTATCGGAAGTGCCTTTTGTTTAGGGCAGGGGTGTCAAACTGAAATTCACAGAGGCCAAAATTAAAAACTGTGACTAAGTCGTGGGCCAAACTAAATATTTATTGAAAAAATTCAACAACATCTGCATGTTTTCTCTTCTTTCGAGATATGTAATGTTAAACCTTTTCTTATTAAAATAAATGTTTAATAATAGTTTTACTTAACCATTGAATCCAGAATAAGCAGAATATAAAATAATAAGGAAATAAAATAAAATAAATAATGTCTCTGTAGTCTATCTGTAGACGGCGGGCAGCTCTAATACATATTTGATATGATCTCACGGGCCAAATATAATTATATCGCAGGCCAAATTTGGCCCCCAGGCCTGAGTCTGACATGTCTGGTATAGACGGTGACGACGTTTTAGGGGATTAAAAACTGTAAAATCTGAAACCACTCTCGAGAGTGAAAAAGTTGAATACGCTCTGCTGTTGTGTTTCCGTCTACACTGCCCAAGACGCAAAATTCTGGTCAGATCTGCTCATGTCGCGTACATGTTTACGTCACATACATCACCACCTACCGTCACCACCTAGCCACCTGGCGTGCATACACAATCGAATTCCACTTTTGCTTCACCGTATGCACACAGATCCCCAAAAACACTCGTCTAAACATGGAATAAAAAGTGAAGACACAACGCCACTTTTGCATCTTCTGTTCAGACTGTCATCATATAAACATAGAATAAATGTTTCCCACGTAAAAAACACAGTATTAAATCACTAATATTTAATTAATGTAAAAGTGGAAGGTTATCTCTGCAGCTAAATAAACACACTGCCCATTTTGTTTCCACCTAAGACCCAAAGCTGCTCAGATAGCTACATCTCTAATACAGTAGGTTGTTGGGCTTTTTTTTGCGTCTGTTGCTAGGCAGATTACATATCCGCCAGCCTCTCTCTCTTTTCACTCTCTCTCTCTCGTTATTACAATCTCTCCAATCTCTCACTCATCATCCACCTCTTTTTCCCATGGACCTCATTTCAGTCACAATCAGCATCTTAGGTCTCAACCACCTGGCGAAGGAATCTTTTTAAAAAATCTGCCCATTAGTATTTTCAGTGTCCTTTTTTCTAATGTACAAAGTAATGTAATGTTTTCCTTTATGTGTATTATTGGGTTGCCTGTTGCAGATTTTACTGTTATTACATTTCTGAGTGATTTGCAGATTTTGAATGTTTTATGCCAGATGTTTGTCCAGATATAGTAAAAATCTTTCAGACTAATTTAAGCATTTGTGTTTGCTTTTATAACTACTACAATAATTAGATGAAATAACAATGCATTGCTGACATCGTAGTTTTGCCGTCTCTGTCAAAGCAGCGTGTAACCAGGTCGTCTTTGTGACTCATATCACCATACTGCAAGTCAGATAAGGTTAATGCCACACTGTGGAAAAGCAATAAAACATCTCCATGGCGACAAATAGACAAGCAGCGGTTTGCAAATAGAGACTCAAACTACGGTGCGTCTAGATGATTGTAATTTCGTGTCAACCTTAAAAATAGCTTAAAGTGATAAATAAAATATAAATTAGAAAGAAATATTTCCAAAGTTTCGCTGGGTCACAAAATCATGAGGAGAATAATAAATATGATCTTTCAAACTGGGAGAGTTGCGTCATGAAGGATATCTGGATCACGGATGTTGAAATTCATGAAAGATTTGAACCTAAATTTAACCTTTGCAGAAAAAATATCATCACATATGCCATTGGTGAACGTCATCGTTTGATTTAGCCCGGTTTCTCTGCCCGTCCAAAATAAGCATCGGAAAATAAGGTCTGCAGTGATCAGAGCGCAGTGTAATAAGTCAATGTGAAGTAGGCCACACGGCTGTATGTATGCAGATGCAAGCTCCTCTCTCTCTCTTTCTCTCTCTGTTCTCTCCATCCGATCTTCTCTCTCCTTCTCTCTTTCTTTCTCTTTGTCTGTTTTCTTCATCCGTTCCTCTCCTATCTCTTTCTTTCTCTCTCTCTGTCTATTCTCCGTCCGTTTCTCTCTCTCCTTCTCTCTTTCTTTCTCTTTCTCTGTTTCTTCATCTGTTTCTCTCTTTTTCTCTCTCTGTCCTCTGTCCTTTCCTCTCTCTTCTTCTCTCTCTTTATTCTCTCCAATAGTTCCTCTCTCCTTCTGTTTCTTTCTCTCTCTTTTATCTCCATCTATTCCTTTCCTCTCTTTTTCCTTCTCTCTCTCTGTTCTCTGTCCATTCCTCTCTCTTCCTCTCTCTCTGTTCTCTTCATCCCTTCCCCTCTCTTCTTCTTCTTGTCTCTCTCTCTCTTTCTCTCTCTCTCTCTCTCTCCATCCATTCCTCTCTCCTTCTGTCTCTTTCTCTCTCTGTTCTCTCCATCTATTCCTCTCCACTCTCTTTCTCTTTCCCTCTCTGTTCTCTCCATCCGATCCCCTCTCTCCTTCTGTTTCTTTCTCTCTACCTATTCCTCTCCTCTCTCTCTCTTTCTCTCTCTTTTCTCTCCATCTATTCCTCTCCTCTCTCTTTCTTTCTCTCTCTTTCTCTCTCTCTCTGTTCTCCGTCTGTTCCTGTCTTCTCTCTCTCTTTCTCTCCCTCTCTATTCTCTCCATCCGATCCTCTCTGTCCTTCTGTTTTTTCTCTCATTTCTCTACATCTATTCCTCTCCTCTTTCTTTCTTTCTCACTCTTTCTCTCTCTCTGTTCTCCGTCCGTTCCTCTCTATTCTTCTCTCTCTGTTCTCTCCATTCGTTCCTCTCTCTCCTTCTGTTTCCTTCTCTCTCTTTTCTCTCCACCTATTCCTCTCCTCTCTTTTTCTTTCTCTCTCTCTCTCTCTCTCTTTCTCTCTCTGTTCTCCGTCCATTCCTCTCTTTTCTTCTTCTCTCTCTTTCTCTCTTTGTTCTCTCCATCTGATCCTCTCTCCTTTTGTTGTTTCTCTCTCTCTCTCTCTTTCTCTCTGTTTTCTTCATCCATTCCTCTCTCCTTTTCTCTCTCTTTTTTTGATTTCTTCTTTTGGCTCCTTCTCCCTTCTTTCCCTCTCGTTTTCTCTCTTTCTCCCACCCTTCATCTCTGCTCTCTCCTTTCTGCTCTGTTTCTTTCACTTCTCTCTGCCCCTGCTCTCCTCCTCTGTCTTCCTCTTTAGGTCTATTCGCTCTCCCTCTCTCCCCCCTTCCTTCCTTCCCTTCCTCTCTCCTACTCTCCCCCCTCTTTCTCTCCCTCTCGCTGTCTCTCCATCCTTACTTCTCTCATTACTCCCTCTCTCTCTCTGCTGGAGCTAACAGGAGATCTTCTGACAGTCTGAGTCCTGGCTCATGCCCCAAACCTCCCTGTAGATTTATGATCATTTCTGAGTTGCCTCGTCACCAGTTGTCCTTTTCCATTTCTTGCTTCTCCTTCGTCTCCTGACCCATTTAACGAAGAATGACAATGAAACCAGGATTTTTTTTTATAGCAATACCGAAATACATTTAGTTAAAGCAGCACTATGCAACTTAGACGTCTCCATGGAGATGTAACCCCATTAACTACAGTATTTCTTTAGTGTTTATAGTTTTTTATTGTTCAAAAATAGCGTCAAAATCATTGTTACTGTGTTATTGTTACCTGCAGTTTAGCCTGGAGGCGTCGCTGGCTTGTCTCCATGGAGATAGATTAGATTAATGCAATACAGTGGAAGCTTCCCGGCTAAGCAATATAACATCTCCATGGAAACAATCTGATGGCTGACCTTTCCACCAGAAAAGTTACATGGTGCACCTTTAAAGTACACATTTGGATGGACAGTGCAGTTTTTATAATATATACACTGTTGGGAGTAACGTGTTATAAAAGTAACAAATTACTGTAATGCATTGCTTTTTGCTGTAATCCAGTAATGTTCGGCATTACTTGGGAAAAAATTGTAATATTTTACTCTGTACAAATGTCACTAACGTGCGTTTTTTAACCTGGATTGAAGTAGTGGGTTTTTTGTTTTTCTTCATGCAAATTCACTAAAATCACCGCGATATCAGCAGCGGTGAAACGCCATCTTTGCAGTTCTGAGTGTTGGGATGGACTCGGAGGTGCACCCGTGTAGACCGTCGGGGAACTGCGGGAGAAAGGACCGGTGCAGTACTCCATGCCGCACAGGGCTAATTGCAGCTGACACCTCATTGCGGACACACTGCTCCACGGGCTCAGGATTCTCTCAGGAACGGTCCTAGATTAGTCTTGGTTTGGTCCTGGTTCAGTCCTGCTTCAGCTCTGGTTCAGTTCTGGTTTAGACCTGGTGTAGTCCTGGTTCATTTCTGGTGCAGTTCTGGTTTAGTCCTGGTTTAGTCCTTGATTAGACATGGTTTAGTCCTGGTTCAGTCCTGGTTTAGTCCTAGTTTAGCCCTAGTTCAGTCCTGGTTCAGTGCATATATGGTGCAAATGTTCAGCATCTTCACACAGTTATTTTGGTGAGAGTAACTTAAAGTGCTGCAATAGTTGTGTAATATTTTTCATTTTAAACACAGTAATATTGTAATGTAACAAATTATTTTGAAATGACACTAACAAGTCATAAATAACACATTACAGTTTTGAAGTAACTTGCCCAACAATGCTTATATAGTACTGTATATAAAACACTTACAAATATGTACATTTACAGTTAGTTTTACATTTTTAAAAAATTATGTAATATGTGTTTTATTAATTGTAGACTTATGTCATACAGAGTTTACAGAGATAAAGTGACCCAGCTGTAGCCTTTAGCTGGTCTCATCTCGGGTTAATTTCCCTGGAGGCAGATCTTCACAGTGTTATGCCCTTTCATTCTTTAAGTTAGAAACCATGACAGTCCATTGACCCAGCTGCCCTTTGCCTGGTCTTCTGTAACATCACAATTATTAGAACTGCCCACTTTTCTGTTTTATGTATTTTCTAGGGGTGTCACAATAACTGAAATACTGTGATATCGTATTGTCAAAAGTCTCACAATAATATCATGGACTGTCATAATATATCGAATCACAAGTTCCTTTGATTAAATACATGGTTTTACAGTTGCAACAGCTTATAAATATAGGGAACTACATATCCCATGATTCATTTCAGTGCAGACAACGTGAAAAAATATGTTTTTTACTTGAATTCTTGGGATTATGATGGAAATAATTCACACAAAAATCTTGTCAAGGTATTTTAAAAGCAAAAAAATAGTCCCATCTACAATTATATCAGCCTCTCAAAAATATCGCAATAAATATCGTATCGTGAGGTGTATATCATGATAATATCGTACCGAGAGATCTCGATATCGTTGCATAGTATTCTCCAATTGTCCACAAAACATCTCTCTTATGCAACAATTTTGAAATCCAGCATGGCCAATTACTGATCTTTGACAAAAACTGAACCTACATTACCCCTTATAGTTTTTTTTTTTTTAGATTATTTTAATTGATGTATGAAAATAGTGATTGATTTTAGATTTGTGTGTGTAGAAATTGTTTACAGATTGTGATGTGGTTGGTGCACTATGTAACTTTCTGTTAGAGGTCTATCACCTGCTTGTCTCCATAGAGATTTTATTACTTCAAGCTTTAAACTATAAACTTATCTTTCTCACATGTACTCAGTCACATATTATGATTTACTGGTCAGAGATACCATGAAAAACATACATTCCTGAGGTAAGCGGGGTTGCCTCTCCACAGATCTGGCTTGCAACTTGGTCTTGGTCTTGGAGATATATACGTTTAATGCCATACTGTGCAACATTCCAGGCAAAGCGATAATCATGTAGTGGCCCCTTCACCAAGATGATTTTGTAGTGCACCTTTAACCTTCTTGCAGCCCTCAGTACATTTTTGTACATCTCAACTTTTCTTTTTTGCATAACCTTGGCTATATTGCACCAAAATTGGCCAATTTGTGTATATTGTAATGTATTTTTTATTTGTGCGTTTTCTTTCACGATCACAATAAACGAACAGTCTATAATTAAAATACTCACACCCAGATTTACTCAGATTTTACATTCATACATTTTGGTCACATTGACTTCCTTTCAAAATAGCGTGTTTTTTTTTACTGGCTTAACTTTGCCAGTACATTTTTACTTTTTTATTTATTTTTCATTCTTTGATGTTGAAAACCTTTCAAAAAATTTAGTTTCAGTGTCTTTTTGAATTTTTAAAAAATATTTTTCTATTTACTGTGCATCTTCATTACAAGGTTATATCAATAGAAAGACATTTGTCCATATGAGTCCAGACTGAAGAACAGAGACGTACATATTTGAGGTTAAAATAACATGGGTGTGTTCTAGAGGAGCCCCCAGCCTCTGATAATCCCAACACAAACAAATTAAAATTACTTGAAAGATATAGAAAAAATCTATTTTTTCATTTTTTTTATGCACATAATTTGAGACTTTTGGTGTCAAAAATGTCATTTAAGGGGTTAAAATTTCTAAATATTATATAATATTTGGTATGTATGATTATCGCAGAAGTAAATAAAGACACTGATATAAAAAAGTACTGTACTGCATAAAAATATTGTAGTATTGTTTTCCAGTGTATATTTTTGTCACAAAGGAGCACAGGTGTGATTATTTTAAAAGGATGCAGGAGAGTTAAATGAACAAATTAATTCAAATTAATATCTACAAAATAGAAATGTGTATCAAGAAACCTAATTATTAAAAAAAGGATCAAAGGTAGATAGTGATATATAGTATAATATACTAAATAAAAACACTCAAACTAAGACTAAAACTGGACTGAACCAGAAATAAACCAAGACTAAACCAGGACTTTATTGGAACTAGCATATTATATTAAAAGCACCATTAGACCAAGTCCATGTACGCACACTACAGTTTGAGACACATTGATCTAATATCTCATATGTAGTTATTGCTATATCACTCCTATTCCAAATATGGAGCGCCTCTTATTGATGAAATCCTCCGCCCATGGCATTTTTGCTTCAGATCCTCATGTGCGTTATTGATTTAAGCTACTTTGTCTTTACTGTGGGCGGCTCACGCTCGGTAAAAGCCAACACACTGAAATGACGAATGGCAAATAATCTTAAAAGTCATAAATGAAGAATGATGGAGCTCTGTAATTTAGTCAAACAAAAACAAAAACACCTCAATCTTTTTTTCTAAATTGGAACTAAATTACAATTTTAAAGGTATCTGTTGTCATCAGGCTTTTTCACTGATAGAAACTGAAACTTTGACAGAAACTATTTTACACTTTGGTAATATTCAGTTCCGGTGACAGTAACATTTGAGCAGTATTGTGGTTTCTATGTGCAGTGTTTCAATGTTTGAATGAGTCTAACCCTTATCAGAAAACAGGCTTAATGGATACTCCTCTAGTTAGTTCTCCCAAACCTCATTTTCAAATGTATTATAATAATGTATAACTATTGTGTATATAGTTACCTATGTTTTATTTACAAATACTTACATTTTCAGTATATTTCTTTATTCATATGTTAGTTCTAGGGGTGTGCATTGCTTTGAGTCTAACCATACGATACATATCACAATTCAGTATATCACGATACATCCCAAGACTAAATCAATGGATGATATATTGTGATTTATCAATAATTACTTCTAATAATACAGTCATCTACACCTTCAAGAGAACACAATTGTATGAAATATAATGTTGTTTTTAAATCATTAAAACAGTGAAGGCAACTAATGAATTTTTGGGAAAAAGTTATAGATTTTTAAAAATCAATTTGGATGCATTTTGAATCGATTCAGTAATTGTGCAATGAAGTATCACGATATATCACTGAATCGATTTTTTTCTTACACCCCTAGTTATTCCTATTCAATTTAGATTGTTTTTACCAGTCTTCCAATTATACTTTTGTATTAAAATCATTTCCCTAGTGGATCATTCTGCACTATGAGATCAATAAAGTAATATCTGAGCTAGTTAGTTATCTTAAAGTAGTCATTGATTAACAGGGAAAGACAATCCGATACAATATTCGATGATAAATGTGACTATCTGTATAACCCACTGTACTGAACTTGTATTTCAATGAATCTGTATCTATTACTAAGCCATGTTAAATCTGTATATTTATGTATGTTCTAGTTTAAAGCTGGACTGTGTAACTTATCCGGAGCTGGGTCCTCCACTCTCTTATTGCTCTAGAGATGTCATTGATCTGCTTAGAATATTCTTTACGTTTATATGATGACGGTCTGAACAGAAGACGCAAAAGTGGCATAGCGTCTTCACGTTTTATTCCGCATTTAGACGAGCGTTTTCAGGAGGAAATCTGTGTGCATACGGTGACGCAAAAGTGTGTGGAATTCAGTTGGTTATGCATGCCAGGAGGTTAGGTGGTGATGTATGTGACATAAACATGTACACGTCGTGAGCAGATCTGACCAGAGTTTTGCGTCTTGGGCAGTGTAGACGGAAACACTACGGTGGAGCGTATTCAACTTTTCCACTTTAGAGGGTGGTTTCAGATTATTGTGTTTTTAAGACCCAAAAACACCGTCACCGTCTAAACGAAAGGCAATTCCAATAAAATATTTTGTTTTTTTTACCTGCAAGCGTTCTCCTGTAAATAGACCCACAATATGACATTAAACTCACTCATCTCCATGGAGAGCAGCAATGACACCACCAGGCCAAATTACAGGTCAGGTCTGTGGAGATAAATGCAGTGTGTGGAACAAAGCAATAACATCTCCATGGAGAAAAGCAGGTGGCATAAACTCCACTAGAAAAATTACATTACAAAAAAACTATTCTTGATCTTAATCTTAACGTAACACACTGATATTTGTATCTGCTGAGTGTATAATGGTGTGATGTTGTTGCAGAATGACTGGGGAGGACAGAGGACTCTACAGAGGAAGTGGACGACGTTCCTGAAGGCCCGGATGGTTTGTTCTGTCCCCGAGTACGAGCTCCATCTCAACGTTCTGCGCAGTGTGTTTGTGCTTCAGGAACATGACCATCACAGCACTGTTTTCTACGGCATCTTTGGCCTCGAATGGTGAGGAAAGATTCTCAGTATTTGTAATTTAAAGGTGCATTGTGTAGCTTTTCTCGTGGAAGTTCCGTTAAATACTTCTCCTCGGGAGATGTTATTGCTCCGTTTCACAGTATGGTATTAAATCTTTCTATCTTCATGGAGTCCAAACTAGACCAAGTTTGGTAACTAAAAAGTAATTGTTTGAATAATCGTGATTTCAATATTGACCAAAATAATCATGATAATGATTTTTTCCATAATCGAGCAGCCCTACTCTGAACTAAACATTTCATCCAAACTCACTGTGACATTTTAAAGATATGGAGGCGGCTGAACTTCAATGTATAAATAGTTCTATACAGATTATAATCAAAATGAGTTTTCAGTTTTAATACAAAATTTATATTTAAAAAGAAAATTTAGATAAGACTCAGGTAAATGTTACAAAAAGAAAAGTATGTTATTTTTGTGACTGAAATCTGTATTGTGTATGTAGTTTTTTATAGCAGTTGCCTAGATACAAGCACCACATGTGTATAATCACAAATAAAACATTTAATTGAACTTACATAAACCACACAAAATGCCTTTTAAAAAATAAAGCAAAATGCAATTAGAATGTCTTAATAATTAGGCCCGAGCGCCAGAGGCTGGCGAAGGGCCTATTAGTATCGCAAAGCGATGCTCCAAGTGGCCGAAAAACAGAATGGTGCGACGTGACTTGCCCGTAGTGACCAGGGACCCTTGCCATCACGTAGCAATGCGCCAGAGGTTTCCGAAATTGTATAGTTTGTCGGCCCAAAAAAAGTGGAACATTGTTCTCGTATCGGTTGGTTATTCTCCTAACAAAATCACCCATTTTTCACCCACTGAACAATGACGAAAAGTCCTGAAATTTTGCCATCTGGTAAAACTCGCGCTTCCCTACGTTTTGGCTATTTCCATTTTCCAAAAATAAATAAAATGGCTCGTCAGCGCCACCAAACGACTCAAAAATGCATTAGGGAATACGAATGACACAAAAAAAAACTTGCACGTACAATCATGAAATTTGACACAGAAGTCGATCATGTCAAGACAAGGAAAAAATATTATTACGCCAACACCGTGTGCTCCACTAGGGGGCAGCAATATTGGCTTAAATTTTGCTAAGCTTTTACGAACTCCTCCGAGGGCGTTCACCCGAACGAGCTCAAATTTGGTCCACATCATCTCAAGACGTAGAACAATAAAAGTTATCCAAATTGTTCACACACGTCTTACGATCTCTGAGCAGTGAAGCAACAAAAAATGCACACAATTTTGGACATTTACAAATTGCTCCCATTTGCTCAAACGAACTCCGATTTCAATGAAATTTGAAACATTTGTTAAACTCTCTGCCCTGAAGCTACTTCATGTGAAAATTATGAATTTGGTGCATTAGCGCCCCCTATAGATTGAAAAAAAAATTTAATATGTGAGAAAAATTCATTTGTTCCCAAATAGTTGCTCAAAAATTTCTGAAATTTTGCACAAAATTCCCTTTTGGCATCCTGATCCAAAAGTCAATGACACCCATGTCATATTTTTTATGGCGTTGCCATAGCGATGGCATAAACTCTCCATTGGTAAAATCTACAAATTCTGGCACAAAACTATGGCCGATTTCACTCAAATTTGAATCGTTGATTGACACTCCGACCCTGAACAGATTTATATAAGAAAATCTCAGATGGGCGCAATAGCGCCCCTAGGGAAATTGCATGGTAGTGCAAACATTTACTTTGTTGTAGACATATAAAATTTGGTACACAGATTCATGACATGGTCTTGATCAAAAAAGTCAATGACGACCCCATGCCATTTCCCATCGTGTTGCCATGGCGACAGGCCAAACATCTGCCCTTGCCAATAGGCCCGACAAAAACTTTGGCGTAGCCAAACCAAATTTGGTACACAGATGCATCATGGGAATAGGAACAAAAAAGTATATTACGCGGTTGCTAGGCAACCAACAGGAAGTCGGCCATATTGGATTGATCGGGCGACCTGCGACGAAGGCACAAATTCCTGTCCTCGTACTTGAACGAACTCGTCCTTGGGCGTTTGACCCAGACACCAGAATCATTCTGTATCATCTAGACAAGTGGGACATTAAAAGTTTGTTAAAAGCTTTTTAAAAGGTCAAACGGTGTTTGGACCATCAAACTTCAACGCCTGATAATTTGCACAAACTTTGACCAATTTCACTCAAATTTTAATCGTGGGTTCACACCCCAACCCTGAACAGATTGATGTAAGAAAATACAAAAATGGGTGCAATAGCGCCCCCTAGAAAATTTGTATGTAAAAATAAGGTTTTATTTGTCACAGATATACAAAATTTGGTATCCACATTTGTGACATGGTCTCGATTAAAAAACTCAATGATGCTCACACCCAATTTACATTGTGTTGCCATGGCAACAAGCCAAAATTGTCTCCTTGCCAATGGGACGTCCTGACACAAATTTAGTATCCAGATGCATCATGGCAATAAGAACAAAAATGTATATTGTGACCACGCCCCTTTACAAACCGGAAGTCCGCCATCTTGGATATTTTTTTTTTTTGCCAAATTTTGAAAATTGCAGAAAATTAAATTAAGATTTTTAGGGCTAGGGTTGGGGCTATGGTTAGGATTACGATTAGGGTAAGGTTTAAGTTTAAGCTTATTAGGGTCCGTGTGAGGTGCGGCATTTGCGGGCTGCAGCGTTTGCGGGGCGCGGCGCAAGCACGAGCGAGGGCCGATCATTGCCGCTTGCGGCTATATTTTTCTATTATGATTACATTGGTCTCACACAACCAATATTTAAAACGTATTACTATTTATAACTTGGTTGATTTAAATGTAATTTAAAAATGTCTGGACCTTTAAATTTTTAGGTTTTTCTCTTATGTGCAATGATACAGACACTGATGTGCTTCTGTGCTCACTTTAATTTAAGCCTCAGTTATAAATAGGAAAAAATAAATAGAAAATGTGATCTCTCTGACAGCGGACAGTGGGTTTTATTTATTTGTGTTTATGCTGATGCTCAGAGTCACGCTGCATAAAACTGTCCCAAAGGCTCTTTAGCGCAGATTTAAAGGATATAGAACTGAGACGGGTCACCAAAAATATCTATTTCCATCCCACTGCGCCTTTTTTCAATTTCACACTTCCTCCCCAAGATTTTTAATCCCAAGATTCATTTTTTGGTCCCATAATCTGCAGCAAAAGCATCTCCTCTGTCTCGGGCCTTTTCAGTTTACTGTGTGGGAAAACAAAGGTGGAGGAGGGAAGGCATTTCTGTACATATGCAAAAGTTTTGATAGTAGTTTTTTCAAGTTAATTAATGCGTTATGTATTAACTAGGGATGTAACAATAACTGAAATATCGTGATATCGTATTGTCAAAGTTCTTGCAATAATATCGTGGACCATCACAATATATTGAATTATAAGTCTCTTTGTTTAAATTAAGAGTTATGGTGCAGAAATAGCTAAAGAAAGACTACATAGAGAACTACGTAGACCATGATCCTTTGCTCCATTTCAGTGCAGACTACAAGACGAAATAACAGTTCTAAGCACTATTAAGTCTTAGTTCTTTGGATTAAGTCTTGTCAAGACATTTTAAGAGGAAAAAGTAGCGTATTCACAGTTTTACTTGTTTAGCCTTTACAAAATATCGCAATAAATATTGTGCCGAGAGATTTAGATATTGTTAAATCCCTAATCCTGAGCCTCCCCTCCATATCGTGAGCTTTCCCACAATATCAAAATAAATATTGTACCCTGAGATTCATACCGGGACAATATCGTATCGTGACACTTGGATATTGTTACATCCCTAGTATTAACTTTAACTTATTTAATTAGTAATGTTTTCTGCGTTCCTGTCATTGCCATATAGATAATTGCTCTTATTTATAAGGCTCATATTACTCTATTGTCTGATCTATTTTATGAAGTTGTCCTCATCAAAAACTTCTTCTCTCAAACTGAAAACACTCTGTTCCACTTTGTGATGTCATGTTGTAATACAGGAAGTGCTCCGGTGTGTTTTTAAACTCCCTACACACCTTCACTAGAATCATTTGGCGGATTTCAGCTCTGGAATTTCTGATCTCTACTAAACGAAAGGTAAAAGGTTGAAAACTACCACTATATGACATCACAAGTTGGCATTTTGAGCTTTGGGGATGTGAACAAACTAATAATAAAGGGCTACTCGACAATGTGTAAATGAAACAAAACACAACTCTGGGTTTTTAAGGACCTTTAAGTTACCGGTAACATTTGAAAAGCCCACTAAATGGTACAGATATCTGCTCTTTTTAAAGTGAAAAGTACCTCATTATAAAGTACATTGACTGAAACTGTCCTTGAGCGGAGTGTGTTTTTCTCTTTGATACAGTGCACACCTGTGAGAGCAGTAATCACAGCTGTATGAGTAAAGGGCCTATGGGGTCTATGGCTCACTGCTATTGAATTGTGGTTTCACCTGGGTCTAATTTTCCCACTTGAACAGTTCTGAAAGCTCAAACACACAAAGCCAAAGTATCTGACAGTGAGAAATCCTTTATGACTAATATCACCTGTAGGGCTTGAGATTAAGATGCACTTTGGTCCAATCCTAACGGGGTTCAGTGACAGCTCCCTTCTTTCAAAAGAGCGCCAAAAGCCACAATAGGGGTAAGTGTATTTCTGACTCACAAGAATGGGGTAAATATTTCAAAGGGGTAGTAATAGAAGAAGCTATCGTCATTCACTTTCTGTCTAGTAATACGACAACTACTATGTTTGCTTAATATTTATAGCCTACTCTTAAAAGTCCTATGTTACGCAAAATTGACTCTGTTAAGATTTTAGCCACTTTATAATGTTTTTACCTCCTCAGAAACATACCTGGAGTTGTGTTTTGCTTCGTTCACATGTTAAGTAACAGTTTATTATTAGTCTGTGTATGTTTTCAGAGCTCAAAATGTTCTGTTCCACCTCGTGATGTCATGAA